CCCCCCCCCCCCCCCCCAGCCCCTCCACTGCCTTCTCCCTTAGGGAACAGCAAACCTCCGGGTGGGGGTGGGAGAGATCCATCTTTTGGAAGCGAGCCCAAAATTCGTAACAGACCGGAGTTTCTTTCAGTGTTACCTGTCCAGGTGTGTATTTTACAGTTAAAACACTTCCTAAAACTACAATAAAGCTGTGGTGTTTGGTATGAGTATTTCAGAAAGCGGCACCTTTCCTAAATGGGAGGTGCCGCAAAAAACAGACAAAAAAAAAAAAAGGAAAAAAAAAAAAAAAGAGTTTTAACTCCCCCAGCTCACCCCAAACCCTTGCCTGAACTCCCTGCAGTGCTGACACCAGTCTCGCTCAGCTGCAGGAGACAAAGCTCCGCTTTGGAACATTAAAACCTATTTGCTCTCATGAGAAGCCTTCCCATTTGTCTATTATTGTTTGTTTGTTTAAAAAAAAAACAAAACTTTAAGGAATTAAAGGGAGATTTTTCCAGAAAACTGTCACACGAAACACTTTAGCTCCTCCCTGGTGCCTGTTTGCTTGTTATTAAAAGTCAATCGAGTGTCCCTTTCTTTGCAATTGTCACGTGCGCAATTGGGTTCCGTTCATAAAAGTCCAGAAATGTAAATGTGCCTGTGTGGAATATTACAGCAGGTTTCAAAGCCGGAGAGGTTGCTCGTCTGTACTGTTTTAATAGTCACAAACAAGGCAAGGTAAGATGAGACACCTGCTAAAGCAAGACTACGCTAAGGTACTGAGAGCAGAGGTGACATCCGTTTTTTTTTTTTCCCTGGGGTGTGTGTGGGGAAGAGTTGGGGGGGTGACGGCCAAGGGTAAACCAAAATCCTAGGCTAGAAGCCGCTCGCCTGTCTTAGACGGAAGATTGCACTCCAAAAGTCTCCTGAGAGGCGTACACCATGTAGAGGAAGCCATCCTCGTCCTTCTCGCTCTCGTACACCTCGGATATGGGTGTGGAAACGCTCACCATGCTGTGTCCGTTGACCAGGAGGAAGAAGGCCTGGTTGGAGTTCAGCTGCAGGCGCCGCCTGTCAGGGGGGAGGTCAGGGGAGCGGGGAGGGGAAGGAGTTTGACAGTGATGACTCTGCTTTTCCACTCACATCCACCCAGGACACATGGCAAGACAAAGTCCCTCGCCACCCACAGCGGCGAGGTGTCCCCACCCAAAGCAGCCCTGCCCCTGGAGAAGGCATTTGCTTCCCACCTCAAAGTTATATTTAATTTATCTGCTAAATCCATGCGAATCCACCTACTGACAGAAGCCCTTATGTCACTGGAAAAGCCAGGCTCCAGAAGGGCATTAAACTGAAGTGAAAAGGAAGAGTTACTCCTCGCTAGGATGGCGCTGGGGCAGTGACATCATCCCTCTACAGCCAGCAAACTGGTGAGGCCTGAGGGACCTTTGGCTCACAGCTTCACTCAACAGCTTCTCCTGGAAACACAAACCCGAGCTGACCTTGAGAGATCTGCATGAAGATGGGGAGGGAGGACGGGCAGAGCTGCCACGAGAAGGCCCTGGACCTTTTAAACTCCCTTTGCCACCAGTTCTGGAACAGGCTGCTTTAAACCTTTGGAGCATCTTGCCCCGTCTTCTCCTCCCTCCCAGGAGAAGCATCCCAGAGAAAGGCAGAGTGTGACAGACTTCACAGACCGCGTGGCACAGTCAACATCTAACTTTGGGGTTTCCCTCAGATCGTTCACTCCGGTTGGGGCAAAATAGCTACTTTCTGCTGAACTGCCACTCCATAAATCAAGTAAGCACTCAGATATGTGGAGGTGCAACCAGAGGAAGAAGAACAGATCAGTAGAGCTTCCTGCTGCTTCTGCTCCCTGCTGAGGGGCAGCAGCAGCTGGAAAAAAAGGATTTATTTAGCCTCCCAGGCACAGCCCTGGAAAGGGACCCTTCCAGAACCAAGCTCTAATCTCTCCAGAGCGAGCAGGCAGCAGCCAGGGGAGGGGTGGGACGGACGGGCTCTGCCAAACACAAGAGGAGTTGGCCAAGGACCAAGTCCAGCTGGGACCAGGTCACCTATTAACAATGAAGCCAAAGAAAAAGGTGGGGGAAACCCTTCAGCTGGCTGTTAACCATTTTGCCCGGGGCCTTTAATGTTCATGAGAAATTCTGGGAGACTTGAGCAACACAGTTCCTGCTTCCAGAACCCTATCTCACCACCTTACTCGAGTAAGAGCTGGGATTTGCTTGCAACAGAGAGTTTTTGTATGAGCCTCCGAGGCAGGGAATTGTTTGGACACGTGGGGCAACTCTCAGTTTTTACAGCTTGTGGCCTCCAAGAACCAGCTTCCTGCTACACTGTGACCAACAAAAAGCAAACTCTGGTTTGCTGCTAACTTCCAAGTTTACCGCTTGAGAACTCTTTACTAATGAGATAGTCCCTTCTTGACACGAAGCCAGGAGAAATGCACTTCTAGCAGAATTCCTGACCACAATTTTCGACCACACAACTTCCACTCCACGGCTACTTCCCCTTCCCCTCTTCTTGTCAGCAAAGCTCAGCCCCAGAGAGGAGCAGTACCCGAGCCACAGTCTGTGCACACAGCTGGGACAAAGAGACACTGGTCTGAACATCTCTTTTTTGGGCCTCAACACTGTCATGGGGGGAAACCTCATTTCACCATCAAAGGATGCCAACATCAACCCCAAGCAACAGCTCAGAGCTCTGGCCATGAGCCCAAACTCCCCGTTCTGTGGGTGGGAAGGGGCAGGCACTCCGCAGAGGGACTCCCAGCCAGAACATTGGGAAAGCATCCCAAAATAGGCAAGCAGGAAGCACTGGAGCCCTGGGCCAGAAGTTAGACAAGGATTTGTAACCCCAGACTCCCTCCTATGTCTCTGGGAACCAGTGATTTCTCTTGAAAGCAGAGTACCAGCTCAGCTCAGCTCAGAATTTTTCCCCAGCAAAGCCAAAGGAAAAAGCATGTCTTATGAATTTGTCCTAACGATGATACCAAGCACTCATTAGATGAATTTTCCATTTAAAGAGCTCCCAAATGTATACACCAGCTGGGGAATTAATAAAGAATCATACAGCCTTAGGCTGATGCAGCTTACGCTGAAATCACAGCATACTACCTGATAATTTTGATTAG